GATTGCAATTTTTCTGTAAAGATTTGACTGGTCATTTCTAAATCATTTTCAGGAAGTAACTCATCCCATTTTATATTTTTTATGGCTGCCTTGAAGTCATCATGTTTGTTTTTCGGTATGCCAAAGAATTCCTTATTGCCAGCGTTCGTAACCCGCCTGCAAGTGAGTTTTCTTGATATAAGCACCATATTATGATCTGATAGCCCAGTTATCATATTAAATGATTTTGTGATCCTTTTCCGGTCTATTACTGAATAAGGTCAATTTGAGTACTGGTGCTGTTTGTTATTCTTATTGGACCTTTAACCAGTTGAACCAGATTAAAACCATCAGAAATTTGCTTGAGCTTCATTCTTGAGGACTTATCTTCCCAGTTTAAGTTGAAGTCACCCATTATGATTATTTCTTTCTTAAAATCAAATTGACATAATAAAGTCTTAAGGTTTTTATAAAAGCTAATGTTTGAGGAAGGTGGTCGATAAATTACCACAATGGTGTAGGACATCTGAGGCGAGATAATCATATTCATTGCTACACATTCTAGACCACTTGGATTTTGCAATTGAATCTCATTGCAATGGATGGTATTTCTTACAAATATCATAACTCCACCCCCTTTCGCAACAGTTCGGTCCCTCCGGTAAATATCATAACCCGGAACTATTAGAGCAGCGGACGGAGAGTCATCGTGAAGCCAAGTTTCCGTTAAACAGAGGAAGTCTAAATTAGACTATAGTAAATTTATGCTTTATTTGATCACTTTTGGATTTTAAGCTCCGTATGTTTTGGTGGCCGCCTAATATGCCCTTTGGCTTAGCTTTGGGATCCCAGATAATCCTCGAGTTGTTTACAGTTGAAAAAACTTTCCACTTCCGGTTCTTACGGATGGCTCTGTTTACTTCCCCACGCTTTTTTTTCTTGTACACATGTTTGTCTGATGAATTCCTGCGGTGCTTGTCACTCGGTTGGACATTGAATGTACTCACGAGTGTATAGTCACCGCCGGTGTTGCTCCTGGGGAGGGCTGGAGATGTACCCAGTATAGCAAGTCTCCCCGGTGATGATGGCTTTACCGCCGGTGAGTTAAATGGTGCACGACCCTCCATCAGGAACCGGACGGCTGTCATGTCCTCCGGGATGTTCAGATGACCAGGATTGGAATACTGGAAGAGGGTAGCGCTGAGTTCACCATCGACTACACCAGAAGAGGCCTCTTGTGGTGTGAGTGGCTTTCCCCGGGCTTTCCCCGTGGTCAACTGTGCAGATGCCCGCCAGGACCGGTCTCCCCAGGGTGCGTCAAGCTGTTAATAGGACGCCGCTGAAAACCCTCAGGATCCTCCATGGAGCTCGGGGAGAGTGCACATCGGAAAAGGTAAGTTTGCTGTGTGAATTTGGGGCATGAGTAGTCTCTGACAATACTACATACCTGAGCTGAGGTAGAGTTGCGTGTAGAAACGTCAGAGATACTTGCTCCATTTGTGGTTGGACCAGGACACTGATGAATGTCCCCCGACAAAAGCAAACATATGGCTATTATCACAGCCTCACTGGTTTGTCGTTTACATGTTGTTTTTATTCTTTTCTCCCTGCGGTTGTATCGATTTGGGGTTATAAAAAGGATGGCCAAGGTGTACTCCCCGTACCCGAAGGCGCCGTGGATCTTGTTTGTTTGTTTATCCCGATAAATCCCGTGAGCAATTCATTTGTCATTGATGTACAAAATATTTGCATATTTGTTGTTGAGAGATTGTTTAGGTGATTGTTTTATTGATATTTGTCGGCTGTATAAACTTCAGAAGTAGTGTGTAAAGTAACAGAGCGACTACCGCACCAGACCGACCTCCCGCCATAATTCACGAGACCCTAGTACTGGCCTTCTCTTGCTACAAGAGTCGTTAGCCAAGGCCCGGCTTTTTACATTAGCTGTAAAAATGCTAGTGGTGTTACAGGGTAGATAGCAGCATAGGTAACAGGCTATCTTCAAAAAGCCTCCCATGCAGATATCTCATGGGCATTGTCAGGTCTTACTCCCTAGAGAGTAAGAAGCAGTGTGCTCAGGCCTCCACCCTTTATAACACTGAGTATAGTAGCTGGTGTATCCAGCAAGCCCTCTTCCTCTGAGCCCCTTGAATAAAGAATTCAAGTCATAAGGTTGATTGCCGTAGGCCACTTACAGAGGCCTCCATTCCCTTGGGTTTAGTAGAGAATATAAAATCTGTCTTAAAATCTGTCGGTGATTGGTTGGAACACTATTTATTTTGGTTTTGAGTGGTTGGTGAACCCAATTGTTTTTGTGTGCAGATCTCAGAGCCTAGGCTGCCTACAGAGATGCGTTTTTTTGACGGCCTGATTATGGGGCGGGCAGCTAGCGGATCGATAGGAAAGATTAGATGAATGTGATCATTTATGTTTGGGCCTGAAATCGCTGACACAACCTTTAATTCTGTGTCGTTACCTGGGTGATCAACGACTGTTTTTTGTTTGTTTGTTGTGTGTCACTTGTTTTGTGTCACTTGTTTGTCCTGAGTAGTTAAACTGCCCACTGTTCTTAAAGGGCTCATATAATGCCATTTTCATACAAGTTAATTTGATTCTTTAGGGTCTAAATGAAAGTTTGTAATATACTTTAATTAAAAATTCTCATTAGTATTGTAAGAAAACACTCATTTTACCTGGTCAAAACAGCTCTGTTTTCAGCACGCCGTTTCAGTGCATATGCCTTTAAATAATAATGAGCTTTTCTCACTCCGCCCCTCTGTTCTGCTGGCGTTTTGACACAACGCACGTGGAGTGTTGCCTCGACAACAGTTGAGAGTATATTTTGGAGAAAGAATGGCAGTGGGAGTCTCTGAGGACACATCTGTGCAACCGTATCAGTTTGAACCGGAGTCGGACCCGGAACAAGATGACGGCCGCAAATAAGTTAGACAATTAAGTCTCGAACAGGACGTTTCTGAATGGTTGGTTAACATAATGTCACTTTGATCTATCTGTCACATGTCTGTCCTGTCTTGTGTTGCACATGGGTGGTTGTTATGTTGGGCCATGTGCCTCTGTCATTGTTTGATCCCTCCCGCTCGTTACCTGATTAGTGTTTGAGTTTCTCCACCTGTTCCCTCTTGATTTGTTCCCTTTATAAGTCTCCTCATGTTTGCAGTCTTGGTCGGTTCGTTGTCATTGTCAGATGTTTCTCTGTTCCTGGTTGGTGTTCCCTGTATTCTTGACCCAGTGTTTGTTTCATGTTCATTTATTATGTTTTCCCCCTCGTGGGTTTTTGATTTGTGTTTGTTCTGTTTTGTAAATAAACCTTCCTTGTTTTGCACTTGAGTTCTCCTTTTCCTAAGTGTGAACGTGACAGAACGAACCGACCAAGACTGCAAACATGAGGAGACTTATAAAGGGAACAAATCAAGAGGGAACAGGTGGAGAAACTCAAACACTAATCAGGTAACGAGCGAGAGGGATCAAACAATGACAGAGGCACATGGCCCAACATAACAACCACCCATGTGCAACACAAGACAGGACAGACATGTGACACTATCTTTGTGTACTGGCAGGGTAGAGTAACTTAGTGAGATGTACGAACGCTATGTGTTTACTGATGTATACATACTCAGTTTGTAATAACACAATAACCATTACGCGTTGTTCATTATAAACGTGGGATTATGAGGGGGCGTCTGACCGTGACGTCACAAAATCGAACGGCTCAATTTGAGGCAGGGGAAAACATATAAGGAGATTAAAACAAAAACACTGGATAGATTGTTATCATTATATGATGGTTGTGTACAGGCACTGCCAACACACATTTCAGTACAATCAACTTGAAAAAGTGCATGTAACATTATATGACCACTTTAAGAAAAATCCAGGTCCTGTACATTTTTTGGTTTTCCAGCATATTTTGAATATTTGAAAAGTCCCATTCCAAAAGTGACTATGATGTTGAGATCTATCTATTCACACCGAGGACAACTGAGGGACTCGCACACAACTAAAAGGTGAAAGATAAGTGAAGTTAAAGAGAGCTGAACTTAGCTGGACGATGACATCACTGTTTTCTCCAGAGCGGCTGTATAGATAAATGAACTAAATTAATAACTAATGATTTTTACAATGGAAATTAACCATCACTGAACTGGAATAGGAGTAGAATTATGTCATTCTTAAAATTTTGACAGACTAAAGACAAAAATGTTACTCTGAGCGGCTTTATACATTCGGCCCCTGATATAGATTTCTCCCAATAAAAATAGTCTGATAAACACACACACTCACAGCAAATTAATTAAATTAAACTGTTTCATGAATCACGATTCGACTAGTACACAAAATCTGCTCAAAAAAAGTTAATTTTCATTACTTTTTTAGACAAAAGTGTTTGTCAAAATATAACATATATATCCATATAGCTAATGTAAGAGCCTAAATGACCTTATTTCATTAACAGATAGCAGCTGTAAAACAAGTATCAATTTTATCTTCTCTCAGTGATGTGTTTTTCATATTATGAAATATAGTCCATATATGAGAGGAATCGCCTCTTTAAATATACATAGAAAAACAATTGGTGCAATTTTTTCCCCAAAAAGAATTAGTGTTTACTACTACTGGTTCATTAGCAATGCTGAATACAATGTTAAACCCCTTGATGTAATGAAAACTAAATTAAATATATTCATTAAACCTAAATAAATCACAAGTTTTATTCATTTTTAATTCTCATATTTTCACAATGTGCAGAGAGTGATTCAATCCAATAAAGTCTTCAATATGTTCTCAATGCATCACCTCTAAACAGCGAGACTAAAAACAAGTTGTTTGTGATATGAATGATATTTGATAGACTATTGTTGCCATTGTTTCACAAATGCCTCATATGTTCAATGAAAAATGAAAGTTTTCTGAACTATTATTCTTGTTCCATCTGTATGAGATGACCATGCACTGCTTGAGCGATGACACTGACACAAGTATTTTCACATTGTTGCTTTACTGTTCAGTTCATCTTGTATACAGTAACACTCAGTGTTTACTGCGCATGTGCAACACAACAGAGGATCAATACGGGTGTCGGAAGAACAACACATGCAACACTTACAATGCAATTCACAACCATTTAAACCGGTTCCCCTTGTCAAACAATCAAACTTGAATACTAATTTTAGATTAAATTACTGTATTAAATGTAATTCCATCTTTTGCTTATTTACAAGTTATGGAAGTGAACTTTGCTCACTTAGACACCTTCAGGCAATGATTTTTCTTATGTTTCAGTAGAGTAGATGATTGGCTGAAACTCTTCTCACATGAACAGCACTTGTACGGTTTCTCTCCAGTATGAATTCTCTCATGAACTTTCAGGTGTGCTGACTGAGAGAAACTCTTTCCACAGTGTGAACACTTGTACGGTTTCTCTCCAGTATGAACTCTCTGGTGTGATTTTAAGTTGCTGGATGAAGTGCAGCTCTTTCCACAGTGAGAGCACACATAAGGTCTCACACCAGTATGAATACTCTCATGCTCTTTTAAAGATCCAAGATGTGAAAAACTCTTTCCACATACAGAACAAAAGTGAGGCTTCGCAGCAGAATGAACATTAAGGTGTCTTCTTAAGCTTGATTCAAAAACATATGTTTTATCACACTGATCACAGCTGAATGATCTCAATCCAGAGTGAAGGCGCAGATGCTCTTTGAGACAGCGTTTGTAAGTGAAACTCTTTCCACACTGAGTGCAAGTAAACGGTTTTTCTCCAGTGTGAATCCTCATGTGTATGTTCAGGTTTGATTTACGTATGAAACTCTTTCCACACTCAGAACAGGTTAAAGATCCTTTGACTCCAGATTTTCCAGCTTGTTTCTGCGTGAAATTCTCTTCAGTCTTTGAAACGACTGCATTTCCTTTTTCATTTGTGAAATAATGAGGTTTTTGAAACTGATGCTGTTTGTCTTCATTCACTTCCATCAGGTCTAAAATAAACAAATTAAATTCCCATAATTTAATGAAAGGATAAATGAGAAACAAAAATAGTAGTAGTCTAATAGTATCTAGTTTGGGATATTGTTGTTATATGTCAATTTTTCATCTTAATGTTCCTCATCAGTCATTAAAGAGAATGAAGGAAAACACCAACCTATTTGTTCCTCTTTATCTTCATCTTTTATTCTGCAGGGTTCTTCCTTAATCTCCATCTTTACAATAGTATGTCCGTAGTTTCTCCTGGAGTAATTCCTCCTGCTTGCTTCTTCTTCTCCTGTGGGAAGATGGGAATATTCCCCAGCATTTAAACTCTCATGAACGGCTGTGGGAGCTTCACTGACTGAAGGAGTGAATTGTGGTCGTTGTTGCTCATTTAGCAGATGATCATCACACTTACAATCACTCGAGATTATCCAGGTGCAAATCGTTGTTTAGAAACAATTCCATGATTGCTGAATTTACACTTTTGTATCATATCAAGCCCAAAGTGTAAATTCAGTGATCATGGAATTTGACTGTCAAGTGGTGATGCACAATTATTGTCATTCATTGCATCTTGCATTGAGTGTAGAATTTATGTTACAAAGAAAAATCGGTAACGCTTTAGATTACAGCCCGGAAAGTACTGTGTAATTAAGAGGAATTTACAGTGTAACTTTCTGTAATTATAGTGTAAAGTACTTACATGTAAGTATAAGGGAACAATATGTAAAGTTTGGGGAATAAAGGGGTAACAACCAGGAGAATTAAAAAAATATTTATACTGTAAGTATTATAGAACTAAGGGGAACTTATTCTACTATTATGATACACCAATCTTACATTTGGGAGCAATTTAGCAAGAACATACACTGCGTACCTTTTTGTAATAATTTTGTACCAGTACATACTGTATAGGCTTTTTAAAAATGATATACATATCTATGCGTTAATTAAAAAAAATGTTTTTGTTTTTTTTATAGCAAAAGTGCAGATGTTTAAGTTTGGGCTAACATGTTTCAAGGCAAGAAAAGCTAAGACTATTGCAATTTTTTTTAAATATACTGGGAAATATATCTGGTTTCATGTGGTTACAGCAGGGTTCTCAAGTTTTATCAAAAGCTTGGAGTGAGATCACATGCGGTTAGGGGAGGAGCCTTAATGGAGCCCCGCCCCCACCCATCCCCGCCCCCCAATTTTACCTATTGTTCATAATTAACCAGCATAAATTCTGATCAATGCAACCAGCAAATCTGATAAATGACAGAGCAATTCATCACATCAAATATACTCTTTAATGTTATATTTCAAAATTACAAATATATAACAAACTGCTCCAAACAATTTGGAAAAACAAATCTTTTTGCATTTTTCCCTGACATCTTTGAAAAATACAAATGCAATGGCAATGATTAATGTATGTTTTGACAGGATATAAAATATTACCCAGAGCACTCTTGCTTTAATACATGTAGCCTTAATGTAACTCGAAAGACTATTAATACAGTATAATATAATTTAAAATAAAATGAAGAAATACATTTTCATTCCTTCCCATAGCCACTAACATTTCCCTTAATTTCAGATAACTAGCCAAACTGAGCCAAATCTGGCCTGGTTGCAAAGTAGTTGTAGAGTTTTTGACTGCATCAATAATGTTTACGATGGGCTATATATTAAATGTTCTAGCCTAAAAATGTTAGGCGAGCTTTCTTCCAACTTACATTCTCAACCACGACGTGTGTGCGCGCGGTGGCCGAGAATGTTCCGTCAACTTCCGTGTGTTCGACTTCGCGCATTTATATTGCCTAGTAACGAACGCAATCTGGCCGAGATACAGACGCGCTGGCAGCAGGAAACTTCACTTTGTGTGCCTGCTTCTCGTATACAACGTTATATATAAAGCTTGAAGGACAACTTGGTTGGCATTGCCTTTTCAGCGTGAGAAATACACGGTGTGGCGTGTGAGCGTGTGAACTGGTTGAATTGCGTGTGTCTCACGGCCAATGCGTGAGACTTGAGAACCCTGGGTTACAGGGTACCGTATTTTCCGCACTATACGGCGCACCGGATTATAAGGCGCACCTTCAATGAATGACCTATTTTAGAACATTTTTCATATATAGGGCGCACCGGATTATAAGGCGCATAAGATACTGCAGTCAAACGTTTGACTGGGTTTGCGTTATGCATCCACTAGATGTCAACAAATGTCAACAAAAAAGTCAGATAAAGTCAAACTTTATTAAGCTTTCTGACAACTCCGTTCACTCCCATAGTAACGTTGTTCAAACGTTAAAGGAAAACTCCGGTCAATTTTAACATTGAGCTCATGTTTTGTAAATTTGGAGTGCTGTCAGTACAGATAACAACGACAAAAACCGGTGTTGCCTACACCGTGTTATCCTATTTTTAAAATTTGCACCCTGTTGACTTAAACGGGAAAAGTTTTAAACCTGCTTTTAGCCTCTTAACAACCTTAATGTGTCATTACAAGTGCACAGCCATGTGAGTGAATACGGTGAATCTGACTCCAGTAAATGTGAAAGATATGAATAAAAAGTATGTTTATTCAGCCAGCTCACATACCCGTATTTTCTTCCTGTTTTCGGTCGAAGTCCACAGTAGGCGATTGTCGAGTGCGCGCACGCGATCATTGGTAACTAAGCAACAGTGGAGACTCAGACTGTCAGCTGTCAGCCGATGACGGTGCTGTGTGGTGTTCTGAGAATATCAGCTCAAATGGATAGTTCGGATAGTTCATCCGAATCAGATGTTGAACACACGGAGGAGGTTTGATCGCGCGCGCGCGAACTCGACAATCAACTACTGTGGACTTCGACCGAAAACAGGAAGTAAATACGGGTATGTGAGCTGGCTGAATAAAGAGATTATTCCTGCCTTCGTGAAAGCTCGGATCACAGTTGAGACTGATATATCAGCCCAGGCATCCACGATCCATTGCCAGATAGTGGCGTAAGTCGGCCGGCGCTGTCTCCCTGTCTTGGTGAACGTGTGTTCCCCATCCATATATAAGGCGCTCCGCATTATAAGGCGCACTGTCGTTTTTTTGAGAAAATTAAAGGCTTTTAAGTGCACCTTATAGTGCGGAAAATACGGTAAGTGGTGCTTGTGTAATAAATAAAGGTTTCCGAGTCAGTGATATAAGATTGTGTGTTTGCATTTTTATTGTTACCCTGTAACTACATTGAACAAGAGGGTAACAAGAACCACTTTAATTGGCTTTATGCCACAGCTTCACTACTTCCTGAACTTCAGCCAGCCCTTTGTTTCCTGTCTGTCATTATTGGACAAACTGATTAATCCAGGTGTGCCTGGCCTCAGTAACAATAATCAGGCACACCTGGATTAATCAGTTTGTCCAATAATGACAGACAGGAAACAAAGGGCTGGCTGAAGTTCAGGAAGTAGTGAAGCTGTGCATAAAGCCTATTTACAGCCCGCAGTCACACTTACCCAGTAACTACATGAAACAAGAGGGTAACAAGCACCACTACATGAAACAGGAGTATCTTTCCCCAATATTTAAGCAAAAGTTGCAATAGTTTTTGTTTTCAGTGCACTTTTGTTAAAAAGATTACTTTATAAATGCATAGATATGTACCCTGTGATTTTTAAAAAGCCTATACAGTATGTACTGGTTCATCATTATTTCAAAACGGTACGCAGTGTATGTTCTTGCTAAATTGATCCCAAATGTAAGATTGTTATATCATAATAGTAGAATAAGTACCCCTTAGTTCTATAATACTTAAAGTATAAATAATTGTTTAATTCTCCTGGTTGTTACCCCTTTATTCCCCAAACTTAAAATATTGTTCCCTTATACTTATATTGTAAGTACGTTATAGGTACACTATAATTACCAAAGGTTACGCTGTAAAATCGCTTTAATTACGCAGTACATTCCGGGCTGTAATCTAAAGCGTTACCGAAAAATCAAACTTGTGCTAATTGAGTGACTTAAGTAATTAACGCATTTCCTTGAGTGCAAATGTAATGAATATAAGGTAAACCCACATGTTAAGTCTCTCTGTGTGTGTGTGTGTGCAAGAAAATAGGGATAGCTCACAGCTGAGGTTATGGAGTGCCGCAAGGATCGGTGTTAGGCCCTCTGCTATTCTCAATATATATGCTGCCACTTGGTAATATTCTAAGAAAACATGGAATTAATTTCCACTGTTATGCTGATGACACTCAATTATATATTTCATCACGACCAGATGAAAACACTAACTTATCTAAATTGACAGTGTCTTAAAGATATAAAATGCTGGATGACGTGTAATTTCCTGCTACTAAATTCAGATAAAACGGAGGTATTACTTATTGGTCCAAAAAACTACCCACAAAACCTCTTACAATACAACTTTAATTTAGAAGGATGTCCTGTTACTTTATCCTCTACAGTAAAAGACCTGGGTGTTATACTAGACCGCAACTTGTCTTTCGAAAATCATATTTCATGTTATTAGAACAGCCTTTTTCCACCTTAGAAACATTGCTAAATTACGTAACATGCTATCTGTTTCTGATGCAGAAAAGTTAGTTCATGCATTCATGACCTCGAGACTAGATTACTGTAATGCTTTATTAGCTGGTTGTCCTGCATCCTCAATAAACAAGCTACAGTTAGTGCAAAATGCAGCTGCTAGAGTTCTTACTAGATCAAGAAAATATATAACACCGATTTTATCATCTCTACATGTCCTTTTTACTGGTTACCTATTAAGCTCCGTATTAATTACAAAGTATTACTACTGACCTATAAAGCCCTAAATGGTTTAGCTCCTGTGTATTTAATGGACCTTCTATCGCCCTACAATCCATCGCGTTCTTTAAGATCCCTAAATTCGAGGCTTCTGGTCATTCCTAGGATATCTAAGTCCACTAAAGGAGGGAGGGCGTTCTCACATTTAGCTCCTAAACTCTGGAATAGCCTTCCTGATATTGTTCGAGGCTCAGACTCGCTGTGCCAGTTTAAA